CCTGGCCAGTCTGCCCACCATCACCTGCTCCTACAGCAAGTCGACTGGATTTCAGGGTTTAGGGTTTAGGGTTTAGGGTTTAGGGTTCAGGGTTTAGGGTTTAGGGTTTAGGGTTTGGGGTTTAGGGCAGCTTTGGAGCCTGATACCTACACTACCATGCTAAAAAAGCAGCGGGTTTTTGAGTTAGGTTTTCTTTTAAGGCATTTTGTATAAAGGGCCGTGTAGGGTGGATCTTAGTCCAGGACTGCAATTCCATTGAGACTTGAGGCACAAGGTTTAGGGTCTAGGGTTTAGGGGTTTAAGGTTTAGTGTTTAGGGTAAGTTCGAAAGCCAAGACCCTAAGCCCTAAAACCCACAGGTCAGGGCTTTCGTTTTGGTACTCTGCCAAAATGAGCCCTTACAGGCCTTTGGCCCCAGCCTCTCAGTAATCCCCAATTCTCCGTAGTACTCCCTCAGGGTCCCTAAATCTCCCTAGGGATCCCCAGGACCCTCCCCCCTTGAGTCCCTAAACCCTAAACCCTAAACCCTAAACCCTAAACCCTAAACCCACCCTCTTTTAAGGATCCTCTCAGGTAAGGAGGAGCAGGTGGCCATTTTCACCACCAGTGTCAAGACGCTGGAGATGATGGAGGGGCTCCTCAGAGCTGAATGTGGCGTGAGCATCCATGACACACGAACCTCGGCGCCAGCTTAGAATATCTTAGAACTATTGGGTTTAGGGCTTGGGGTTAGGGTTTAGGGTTTAGGGTTTAGGGTTTAGGCTTAGGGTTTAGGGTTTAGGGTTTAGGGTTTAGCTTGCCAGATGTTTCCCTATTGCATGGTCCAATAGAGGTGGCTGTGATACCCAGAAGTCTTAGGGTCGTGACCTCAACCGCCTGAACCGAGAACGCAGGCTACGTTTTCGTGGGCATTGACGAGATACCGGGGTTTGAGTCCATTGCGCTTGGGCAACATGCAGCTGAGCCTGATTTCGCAACCCCACCAACCCCTGAACCCTAAACCCTAAACCCCAAACCCTAAATCCCAGACCCTAAACCCCAAACCCTAAATCCTAAACCCTAAACCCAGCGAAGCGGATGGAAAAACACCCTAAACCCAAAACCCTAAATCCTAAACCCTAAACCCAACGCCCTAAATCCTAAATCCTAAACCCGAAGCCCTAAATCCTAAGCCCTAAACTCAACACCCTAAGCCCTGAAGCCCAAAAGGTGTCAGGTTGTAGGGTTCAGGGACCCCAAATCTGACCCAGCCGGTCAGGTTTGGGTGTTGCCCTCGTGGTGGGCCATAAACCGTTATGACCTTAGGTGCAGGAAGGGTTGGTTAAAAAAATCCGAGCACCAGGCTAAGCATAAGTTACAGGAAGGTTGTTTTTGGGCAAGGAGTTGAATCCAGACCTAAATCCTAAACCCTAAACCCCAAACCCTAAACCCTAAACCCTAAACCAGGCAGATTCGCGGACCATGGAAGCCGGCCTCTGCCAGAAGGCCGCGGAAGTGCTGGAGCAGCACCCGAAGGCAGGCTAAGGATGGTGGGTTTAGGGTTTAGGGTTTAGTAGTACATTTAGGGTTTAGGGTGGAGGGTTGAGGGTTGAGGGTTTAGGGGTTTAGGGTTTAGGGGTTAGGGGTTTAGGGGTTTAGGGGGTTAGGGGTCTAGGGGTTTAGGGGTTTAGGGGTTTACGGGTTTAGGGGTTTACCGGTTTAGGGGTTTAGGGGTTTGGGGGTTTGGGGTTCAGGGTTTAGGGTTCAGGGTTCAGGGTTTACCTGTGACCCCAAACCCTGCAAAATAGTAGGCTATGACCCCTTAATTAGAGGTAAAGCCTTAAACACGGTGAGGTTTTTGATCCCCA